GCCCAATAACACTTTCCTCCCCACTTGCTTTTTGGCCATGGCATTTATCTCGGCAATAGAAGGCTGGGATGTAGTAAGGAGAGAGCTGCTTGTTGGTTTCTGGCTGCTTAGCCCTGAAATAATCACACAAAAACTGTATTAATTAAATCACCCATTAGCTCTAGCTTCTTATTGGCTAACTCTTACATATTAATTTAACCCATTTCTATTAATCTGTGTATGGCTATGTGGCTGTGGCTTACCTGATAAAGTTCCGGTGTCTGTCTTCGGTGGGGCTACATGGTGTCTCTCTAACTTCACCCTTCTTTCTCCCAGCATGAGCTGTCTCCCAGCCTAGTTTTCCCCACCTAGTTCTGTTCTTTCCTGCCATAGGGTCAAAGCAGTTCTTTATTCATTAACCAATAAAAGCAACACACAGACAGAAGGACCTCCCACATCACTGGGATATATGTATACATATTTCTGTTTCACATTTTCCAAATAGCAGCTCTCTAAATCTTGTTTTCTGAAATTTATGTTTTACACTGAGAGTTGTAGCTATGGGAGACGCTAGTTCATGGACGTGCCTGTCAGTGATACAGTGCACGTGACCTTGGTGAACTCTCACAGGCTGGAAGTGGACTCTGGGAGTCAGGAGGCCCCTCCCCCTTCTCTTCTAAAGTTCCTGCCTGGGTCAGGCTGACCTCCTAACTGACACAGGGCGCAGGAAGACAGCAAAGAGCCGAGGGCATTAGAGAACAGCTGGAACTGAGCCATTTCTAACTGAGGTCTTAACTGTTTATCACATAATACGATGATGCCTATGGGGAGGCTGGGAAGTCAGAAGCTCTTACAGGGAGAGGAAGAATCTACCACCTTGGGCTCTCTTAATACAATTTCCAGCTGATTGCCTCAGGGCCACTCAGCTAGGAGTCTCCCCACCCACGGGAACACAGCTGATTGTCTCAGTGCAATTCCCCAGCTGATTTCTCTTGGGAACCTGCTTTGTGTGCTCTCTTTGCTTGCTCTCAGTTGGCAACGCTAGTCCTCTCTGCTGGCTGTGCGGAACACTCGGTAGATGGTGTTGTGCTATTATCTGCGCTAGTCCCCTCTGCTGGGTGTGTGGAACACTTGATAGATGGTGTTGTGCTTTATCTGCCATTACTCTCTGCTACTGGCTATTCATTCTATTCATTTTGCTTGATGTATGTTTAATAAACTCACCCATTTTGAAATGGGAAGCTCAGCTATTGTAGATCACCTACAATTTGTAGATTACAAATCTTTTGCCATTGTCCACAATGCCTTGTTTAGGTGCTAAAATGCATATATAAACATGTCAATAGGATAAAATTCTTTGCATAATATACAAATCATTAAATTACTTTGTTGGGTGTACTTGTCAGGTGTGTGTGTGTGTGTGTGTGCATGAGCATGCAAGTGAGAGCCTGTCTGTCAGCTTGACACAGCTAGGGTTGTCTAGGAAGAGGGAACCTCAATTGAGAAAGTGCTCCCATCATATTGACCTAGACAAGTCTGTAGGACATTTTTTTAACTTGATAATTGATGTGGAAAGGCCAGCCCACTGAGGGTGGGGCCATCCCTGGGCTGGTGGTCCTGGGTTCTGTAAGGAAGCAGGTGAGCGAGCCATGAGGAGCCATTGAGCAAGCAGAGATTCTCCTTTGCCTCTGCATCAGCTCTGCATCCAGGCTCCTCCCTGAGTTCCCCCCAGCTTCCCTCAGTGATGGACCATAAGCTGAGGATGAAATAAGCCCTTTCCTCCTCGGGAGGCTGTGTCCCTGGCGTTTACCACAGCCACAGAGAGCTGACTGAGGCGGCAGAGGTGGATTAGTTTCCACTTCTCTCCCCACGCAGTTTTCAGCACTGTATTAAAGCCATTTAAACTTTTGTCAATCATCATCATCACCATCACTGACTATTATTATTATTATTATTATTATTATTATTATTTTGAGACCAGGACTTACTCTGCAGCCCAGGCTGGCACTGAACCCATGGACTGGTAGTCCTGCCAGCCAGTGTGTTCTATAGAACCCCATCCTTCCATCTTGCTGACCTGATTTCCCAATGCTTCCTTATATTCTGTTCTTATGAATATATTTGCATGATTTTATTCCTTTGAAAATTCTGTCTCCCTGTCTGTCCTGTCTCAGTCTCCTCCCCCTTTCTTGCTTGGCATAGAGGACACAGTGCACTCTGTCTCCTGTCTTGTGACAAGCCCGCCTCTGACTCCCTTTAAGCCACGGTCACAACACTGTCTACGTCTTAGCTCAGCACCCTCTGCTGTCGACATCAGCCACCCTGTAGGAGGGGAGACCTCCTGGTCAGGATAGTTCAGATGTCAGCCACCCTATAGAAGGGGAGACCTCTTGGTCTGAATAGTCCGGGGACCCTGTAATGAGGACACAGGATGCACAATAGGCAGCCTGCTTTGTTCTAGGACCTCAGACTCTGTAGATTTTCTCCCTCCTGACTTAAACCACTGACACTGATTGATCTCCAGGTAACCAGTTCTTGACTCTCACAATGCAACTTTAACAAAGTGTTCTGCCTAGCAACAAATGATGCAAAAGTCTTCAGATTTGATTGGTTAGCAGTGTGAAGATGGTCCCATTCTCGGGGAGGCTGGAGAGTTATCTATGCTTTGTGATTTCCTTTCAGTTGTGTGGAAGACAGCCCATTCTAAAGAGACTCACCAGCCTCTTTCCTGTCCCCCCAAAATGGGTGCTGGGAGGACCCTCTGGATGGTGGCTCTCCTAGTGAGCACCATGAGGCTGGCTCCCTTCATGTCTGAAGGCAGAGACTCCCCAGGTAAGAAAGAGATTTGTTTCTGGGTGTGTTTATTGGAATTGGTGTGAGGGTTCGTCTCCCCCATAGAGCAAAGTCTCAGGATAGAGTGGCTCTGACTGAAAGAGCAGCCGTCTTCCCGCTGACCAGGAAGCCCTCATGCCCTCCTCATCACAAACAAGGAGCTGCCTGGAAAGGGATTCCGGTACCCGAGTCACAGATGCCAGGGGTTGTAGGAAGGAAGACAGAGACCTTTTTCCTTGTTGGGTTCCTTATGCATCAAATCAGACCCTAGAACCATGAAAGCCAGAGTCTGCGAACCTCTGAGTCTCCTAAACAAGAGTCCACGCTGTTCTGACTTTCTGTTTATCTGGGGACCTGGAGAAACCCTCTTCTGTCCTCTATTAAACCCATGTAAGTGTTCAGGACTGTGCTGACAGTTCTGATGTGGAAGAGAAGTCAGACAAGTTGACTATGCTGATTATCTCTGGCCTTAGGCTACTGTGTGCAGTTTGTTTTCTAGCCTGGGAGACAGGCTGTGCAAACACGAATGTTGTTAGACCATGAAACTGTGGGGTTATGAGCAGAAAACAGGATGTGATATGCTAAGAAAAGATTTCCCTTTAATGTCAGGGTCTCAACCAATACAGAAGAGGAACAAGGCTTGGGGAGGGAGCATCGCTTCTCTGAGAAAAAAAAAAAAAACCGCTCTGACTTCACCATGTCTATTTGACAAACGAAAAAGTCATAGAGTTGCTTTTTTATTTTGTTTCTGCTTGTTTGTTTCTTAGACAGGGATTCCTGTGTAACAGCTCTGGGTGTTTTTGGAACTCACTCTGTAGACCAGGCTGGCTTCGAACTCACAGATCCTCCTCCCTCTGCCTCTCAAGAGCTGGGGATAAAGGTGTGTGCCACCCCTGCACAGCTTCAGCATAGATTTTAAAGGATGAAATAATCCACATATTTTTTTCTTCTTTGGCTTGTGCGAGGGAATGGAGAATGGGAGAAACGCTGAGGGACTGGAGGATGGCAGGTCACCTGAACTCAGTGACCAAGACAGAGGAGCCTGGTCGGCCATTCAGGTTATTCTGGGTGGAGGCTGGGCCTCCCTGGTGGAGACTGGGCCTCCCTGGAGGAGGCTGCTGAGCTTAGCAGTGAGCAAATCACAGATCAAGCACAATAGCTGTTATCCTTCGAGTCGTAGCTCAGAGCCGATTCGTGGAGCTCTCCCGTGCCCTGCCTGCTGTATCACTCTCGAGTGTGCAGAGCTGAGTCACAGCGCGCTGTCATTACACGGAGTCTTTCTCTTCTTCCTGCTTCATTTCTCCTCTTTCCTCTCCATGGATACCATTCCAAGTGTGTTTTTAACATGAACGTAGTGATCAGAAATGTAAAATGTGTCCAAGATGGCTCAGTTGGTAAAGCCGCACGCCGCTAGCCCTGACAACCTGAGTCCAATCCCTGGGACCCACATGTTAGACAGGGGAGGACTCACTGCTGAGAACTGTTCTCCCTGTAGATTTCACAGTTCTAATAAATGCCATTGAGAATTGAAGACATTCGGTGTTCTCATCTCTTAACGTTATGCTTTTGGGCATGGTGCAGTCAAAATGACTCTCAAATCCACACCCTCAGACTTGGTATATCAGGCACAGGCTTTCCCAGAGCTGAACTGGTGTAGCAGGCAAGGCTTTCCCGGAGCTGCACTGGTGTAGCAGGCACAGGCTTTCCCAGAGCTGCACTGGTGTAGCAGGCAAGGCTTTCTCAGAGCTGCACTGGTGTAGCAGGTACAGACTTTTCCAGAGCTGCACTCGTGTAGCAGGCAAGACTTTCTCAGAGCTGCACTGGTGTAGCAGGTACAGACTTTCTCAGAGCTGCACTGGTGTAGCAGGTACAGACTTTCTCAGAGCTGCACTGGTGTAGCAGGTACAGACTTTCTCAGAGCTGCACTGGTGTAGCAGGTACAGACTTTCTCAGAGCTGCACTGGTGTAGCAGGTACAGACTTTCTCAGAGCTGCACTGGTGTAGCAGGTACAGACTTTCTCAGAGCTGCACTGGTGTAGCAGGTACAGACTTTCTCAGAGCTGCACTGGTGTAGCAGGTACAGACTTTCTCAGAGCTGCACTGGTGTAGCAGGTACAGACTTTCTCAGAGCTGCACTGGTGTAGCAGGTACAGACTTTCTCAGAGCTGCACTGGTGTAGCAGGTACAGACTTTCTCAGAGCTGCACTGGTGTAGCAGGTACAGACTTTCTCAGAGCTGCACTGGTGTAGCAGGTACAGACTTTCCCAGAGCTGCACTGGTGTAGCAGGTACAGACTTTCTCAGAGCTGCACTGGTGTAGCAGGTACAGACTTTCTCAGAGCTGCACTAGTGTAGCAGGCAAGGCTTTCTCAGAGCTGCACTGGTGTAGCAGGTACAGACTTTCTCAGAGCTGCACTGGTGTAGCAGGTACAGACTTTCTCAGAGCTGCACTAGTGTAGCAGGTACAGACTTTCCCGGAGCTGAGCTGGTGCAGCAGGCAGGGCTTTCCCGGAGCCGCAGCTGGTTCCTAACCCTTCTGTGGTTTCCAGAGGATTTTGTGATTCAGGCGAAGGCGGACTGTTACTTCACCAACGGGACAGACCAGGTGCGCTTCGTGGTCAGGTTCATCTTCAACCTGGAGGAGTATTTACATTTCGACAGTGACCTGGGGATGTTTGTGGCGCTGACAGAGCTGGGGGAGCCTGATGCTGAGCAGTGGAACAAACGCTGGGACCTCGTGGAGCAGAGCAGAGCGTCTGTGAACATGGTCTGCAGGCAGAACTACAAGCTGGGGGCCCCCTTCACCGTGGGGAGGAATGGTGAGTGAGGGCTAGCGGGGGACTCCATGGGAATCTTTCTTATGAGAGGCACTTAAACTTACATTTATTTATTTATAGTTTGTTTGTTTGTGTGTGTGTGTGTATGTGTGTGTGTATGTGTGTGTGTGTATGTGTGTGTGTTCCATGCATGCCACAGTGCACACGTGGCAGTCAGGGGACATCTTGAGGCAGCTTGTTCTCTCCTTCCATTGTGTGGGTCCTAGAGACTGGACTTGGGTCCTCATCCTTAATGGCTGGCACCCTTATTTGCTGAGCCATCTCGTCAACTTTCTTGCACTTCCAGCTTCTACTTAGCTCGCCTGGAACATGGATCAAGTGTGATCACAGTGCCTATAGAAGTTCTTGTCCTTGTGTGCCCTTTCTTCTCTCCTAGTGCCTCCGGAGGTGACAGTGAGCCCAGAGAGGACCCCGCTGCTGCAGCAACACAATCTGCTGCTCTGCTCTGTGACAGGCTTCTATCCCGGGGACATAAATGTTAGGTGGTTTCGGAACGGACAGGAGCAGAGGTCTGGGGTCATGTCCACTGGCCTTGTTAGGAACGGAGACTGGACCTTCCAGAAGACAGTGACGCTGGAAATGACCCCGGAGCTTGGTGACGTCTACAGCTGCCTGGTGGAGCACCCCAGCCTCCAGAGCCCTGTTTCTGTGGAGTGGGGTGAGCTTTATTTAGTGTTTTTTTTTTATTATTATTTCTGGGGCTTGACTGGTAGGGCTGGTGTCACTTCTGTGTTCATCTTGATTACAAGGTAAGTTCCCCTTATCTGTGAATTTTAGGGTCGGGGTGGGAGAGAATATGGCTGACATCCATCTCCAGAGTGTCCGAGAGACAAGGAGGGCTGTTAACTCAGCACTTGTCTCCTATTCTGGGACCTAGAATCCTTTATCACACTTTGCTTTTGTTGTTAGGGACGCTGTCATGGGCTCTAAGCCAGGGACGGGGCTGGAGAAGTGGCTCAGTTGGTAAAGTGCTTGTCATACCAGCTTGAGGACCTGAGGTTGATCCTCAGGAGCTCTGGTGCCTGCTTGTAGTCCCAGGGCCAGGGAGGTGGAGGCAGGCGGACTCTGGGGCTCATGGCCTCCCAGCCTAGTCTACTTAGTGAGTCCCAGGCCAATGAGGGACCCAGTGCAAAAACAACTACAGCAGCGTCAGCAAAGGTGGATGGAGCTGAGGATGAGGCACACACACACACACACACACACACACACACACACACAGAGAGAGAGAGAGAGAGAGAGAGAGAGAGAGAGAGAGAGAGAGAGAGAGAATCAGTGACAGATGGGAAGCATCTCCAGTTTTAGACTTGACTCTTCCCTGAGCAGTACTGGATGGGGTTTAGTATAGGCTTTGGGGTTTTAAAAAGTTGTATTCAGCTGAGCAGTGGTGAATCATGGCGTTAATCTCAACACTCAGGAGGCAAAGGCAGGAGGGTCTCTGAGTTCGAGGCCAGCCTAGTCTACAGAGTGAGTTCTAGGGCAGCCAGAGCTATACAGAGAAATGCTGTCTCTAAAAGCAAAGCAAAACAAAACAATAGTAACAACACAAAGTAGTTCCATTCAGTATTGGGAGCATTGAACATTACCTTGACTTTAAATCTTGTTTCCCACAGTGGCTCAGTCTGAATATTCGTGGAAGAAGATACTGAGTGGAGGCGCAGCGTTCCTGATTGGGCTAATCGTCTTCCTGGTGGGGGTTGTTATCCACGTTAAGGCTCGCAAAGGTAGCACACCCTTGAGAACCTTTCTGCGTGCCCTGTACTTCCGTTACTGTACAGATTCGAGTGAGGGAAGGCTGGTTGTGCTCGGGCATCAATCACTGTGATAGTGTTTTCTAAATCCAGGGGAGCCTTGTGTATGTGTGGGGGGGAAGCAGAGAGGAGTGTAGGCATTGCACCCCCAAGGGGTAGGCAGAGACAGTGGCATTGCAGGCCACTCTTCAGGAAAATCCCATTTGATCCTGACTGGGGATCCCATTCTCTTTCCAGCATCTATGGAGACCTGGTCAGGAGATGAGGTAAGCGCTCCAGTTCCTTGTCTTTGGCTGACAGATCATTTCCTGGTTCTCGTGCCAGAGTGAGACATCATGGGATGAAGGAGGCCTCTGGCTGGGTGGTTGTCTCAGTCTCTGGGATGGGAGGGTGGGAAGCCCCTGAGACCCTCCCATTGTTTCTGCAGGTCTCAAGAGCTTCTCCACCTCATCTCCAGTAAGATCCTAACGGACACTTCTCCCCCAGAGCTTGAAGGAGTGTCAAAATCCAGGACCCTGGGGCTGGTAAAGAACCCTGGCTCTAGAGTCATGAGATGCGGCTTGTATCTTCCTCTTTGGTCCTTCTCCCCCCTGCCTGTACTCAGTAGTCCCCATTTCCAGGACACTGTCCAGAGATTCCCTTAGGACCTAATTCATTCTGGTCCTGAGTTGTTTTAGTCTCTGTGGTCAGACTCTAACCCTGTGAGTGGGGACCCCAGTCTTTCTGTCTTCCAGCCATTGCTTCCAGTCTTCCAGGTGGTCACTTTAAAATCCCTTGCTTTGTAAAACAAAACAGGCATAGATAACTGTAGTTAATGTATAATTCAGTGACTTATTTAAGACAAAGCCCTTGTAATTACCAACTCAGCAGGACACAGACCTTGGCAGTCTCTGAACAACTCATCATCTGCCTTGGCCAATAAACACCTGCAGGCACACACTATACTGTGGGGTTATTTAACAGCCTCTTCAGCCAGGTGTACATCTGAGTACCACACTCCTTTGCTTTCTTGTGTCTTAGACCTCCAGATGTTTTATTTTATCCCTTCTTTCTGTTAGGATTAAATTTGTTGAGAAGCCTGAGTCACCCATGGTGAATAGTTTCCCACACTTGGAGTTTGTTCCCTGCACACTCATGGCCCACCTAACACACGGTTTTGCCCTTTATGTTTTCTGATGCAGAGGCAGGGGTCTGACTCTGGTTTGGTCCTTTTGGCATCTACAGGAGTCACATTTTATCCTGTTTCTCTTTTCAAGGTGTTACCATAACCATTGATGCTAATTGCCCAGGTCTGTTAACTTATCGCTGATTGATAAATTATGACAGTCCAGTTCTAGGATTCTTTCTTCATCTATTTATTGTGTATCGTTGTTTATATTCCTGGTTATTTGCACTAGAAGTTCCAACCTATGATGGTAAACTGTGTGTGTCTTGCAGTGATTCCAGCCTGCACCGGAGCCGCCATTGTGTTCACTGCTGTGTGCTTCTAAATCAAAGAACTAGTTTCACTCAGTAGTGATCTTAGTGGAGTAATGAAGTCCACTGGTTTGGCGAATTCCTGACATCTGTGTAATTGTTTTTCAATTTGACAAAATTGGGAGTGTTCCTGTTCTATGCAGGTGGGAAGGCTTGAGTTGTGAGTGGAACAGCTCGCTCCCTTCAATAGACCATCATTTTGTGTCAACAGAAACATTCTCCATTAATTATTGTGAATTTCACACATGCCTATTATTTGCTTCCCTCAAATCCACCCCATCCCCTCGCTTCCAGTTTCTCCTCCCCAGCACATTTGCCTCTCATTGCTTTTATTGATTTTATTGACCGAGTCAGCTTAGCTCAGCCTGCATGCACATGGGAGCAGGTCCATTTGCCGAGTGTGGGTGGCCTGTCAGGGGCTGCACCCTTGAAGAACATGGACTCTCCCTCCCCAGCAGCCATCAACTACCTGCAGCAGCTCCTCAGCTAAGGGTGGGACTTGTGAGTCCCTCCCATCCATTCGGGAATTTAGATGGCTTGATCTGGGACATGTAGACACTTTCTTAATGACTTTAACTTGCTTTAAAATCAATTATAGTTTAGTTGGTGGGAAATTTTTCTGGCGCCTTTTCAAGCACCAGACGGAATATTATTCTGTCTTAAATGGTCTCAGCATTTGTTCTACATTGCAATAAAGAGCATGAACTGTTTGAAGTACATAAAGCCTGAGCCATATTCAATTTCTTATGTTTAATATAAAACTGTTTTCCTTTCCTTTTCTGAGGACAGTGTGCAGCCTCCTGTGCTCTGCTGCAGAGCCCGGAAGACGCCGGCTCCGCACAGGAGAAGCCGGGCTGTTCCCACCTTCACTTCCCTTCTTCTTTCTACTCCTTCCTGGTTCAGCTTTGGTTTTGTTTCTCACAAATTTTCTTCTTTGGGTATTCCTGCCTGATGACTTTTCCTTTAAAAGTTTTATAATTTTATGTTGTCTGCCTTAGTCTATATTTATTCTAAGGTAGTTTTAAAATATGAAATGTAAAGCTGTTTGCCTGTAGGGTTTTTTGACAAAATCTCTGCTATCCCAGGCTGGCCTCAGCATTACTCACTGTGTAGCTGAAGCTGGTCCTGAACTCCCGACCCCCTGTTTCCACCTCCCACGTGGTAGGTTTATAGGCATTGCCACCAGGCATGGACTTTCTTTTACCTACAGGTGTTTAATTCCTTCAGTACTGTGTGTTGAAAACTCTGCCTTCTCTGTAACTTTTCACATTTTCATCAAAAATTATTTAGGGGCCGCAAGATGGCTGAGTGGGTAAAGATGCTTGAGCCAAGCCTGGCAACTGAGTTTGATTCTCAGAGAACCAAAGAGTAGCAGGAGAACTAATCCCTACAGTGGTCTCTGACCTCTGATACAGCATGGTGGTATATGTGCACTACACACATGCCACGTCCACAGCAGTGACTGCCGTGTAGTGACAAAATGCCTCTGCGCTGGCTTTTGCCTGCTGAAGGATTGGGGTTAGAGCTTCCTGGAGCGAAGCCCCAGGTGGTCCCCCTGGCAATCAGTGGTCGAGAGAGGACCTGATGCCATAGACAAATCTCATATCTGGAGATGGCCCTGAGAGCGAGCCCTCCTGACACCTTGCCTGATCTTTCTCTGTATTTCTTATCCTTCCTGTTTACAGCTGACCACTTACCAAGAAATCAAAGTGATGTGGGAGTGTCATATCAATCTGTTGATTTCATTGGCTGAGCAATAAAGAAACTGCTGGCCCTGATAGGTTAGAACATAGGTGGGAGGAATAAACAGAATAGGATGCTGGGCAGAAGAGGAAGTGAGG